ACAAATAAAAGAATGATCATCTAACTGAAGGCAATTAGCTGTCTTTTTCAGCAGGATCGTAGCACTTGAGCAAGCTGTCTTCTGTAGGGAGGAGGATGGAATCGATCACTTCAGGGATGCCTGCTGGACATTTTGAGATTACAGTCAAGAAGTGTGGGTAATACCATGAACTCATTAGATCATGCAGTTTAGTGGGGTTTAATTGGTGCTACTCTCATTATTAGTTTTTTTCTATGTAGATAGGCAGAACACAAGAAAACTTTACAGTTGCCTTTTGTGTCCTCTCTTGACTACATGAAAACAGAATACTTGATGTAAGGAGGAGCGAGCCAGAACACACTGCAGCATGAACCTTCTCTCCATTGTTCCACTCTTTTTGCATGATCTTGTGTTTGTATTGTTAATACTTTTAATGCCATCAGGAAGGCAATTAAGCATGCTTTGCTAGTGTGCTACTTTTTGTTTATATTGTTTCCCACACAACACAATGGGAATGGAGGCCAATCCCTTGGGCTAAATTTCTTGCATTTTATATGTCTCAGAGGGACTTTTGCATTCACATACACACCCGTGACATCATCTGCACAATGCTCTGAGGGGAGCTGCCTCATGATTAACAGTAATCCATTACATAATTAAGTACAATCTCAGATTAAATAATTATTTGACTGTCAATTCTCCCTTTCCATGAGATGAGCCTTAAATGTGTCTCTTTAAAGTTGTCGTGCACTGAATCTACGATATGCTAGCAATGTAGTTAGGTATAATGACATCACATAGAATGGAATATTTACAAGACTTAAGACCATTAATCAAAGGTGAGATGTGATTGCGATTAAGCTTCTAGGATAGGTTTAAACTCTTCTAGCTTTGTGTAACACGGAGCCTTTAGGATAACAATAACGACCTTGGAATTACACTCATCTTTGAGCTCTAAATCAATTTAATGTCAGGAGCCTTTCCACAGATCAGCCCCTGGTGTTCCTATCCTGCCAGGTTAAACTCCGTGCAGGAATTGGATGTGAACAGGAGGTGGCTTTCTGCTGCCGCCGCTGTGCTCAAATTCCGCAGCTTAAGATCACCTGAGTCTGAGATCTCGCAGAGCCCCCCGACGTTTCTCTGCAGCGGTTTTCTGCTGCTATTACACTGCACGGAATAGCTGGGACCTATCCAAGCACGGCGTGCTGCCACTTCCCTCGCACCGGTAACTCTATTATACTCAGGAAGTGCCGATGTGCTGAAGGCAGCCTGTCTGCCTCGCCAGGGCTTACACAGATCAGATGCAGACTGCGGATCTGCTTTCAGCCCTCAAGAGCTCCTCTGCCCCCATCCCGCTCTAGCACTCCTCCGTGTTGCTCTCTGTGGGTTCACTCAGTACCTATGCCTCCGTTTCTTCAATCTCTAACAGAGAGACAATGTCTGCAATGAATGCATAAGACCTAAATAGTATCTGTGAAGTGGACATCACTGAATTACTGCTGTTAATCTTTGGTCTCACACATTCTGAATATAGCTATTTCGTGCCTCCGTCACTGACATGCGCATCGCTATAATCCCACTCCGTTCTGTATTAATTCCACTCGCAGGATATGTTATTACCACAGATCTCTGCCTTAGCATGTAGCTTCCTTTGTCGTACGGAAGAGTTCCCAACCGCCTCTGTGTTGGCACTGTTTTTTCTAGTTTTTTCTTTTTCCTAGATCATAGGTTATTCTGGATGGGGCCATTTGTTATTGCTCTGCCTTTGTCTGCACAGAGCTTATGTGCTGCTCTCATGACTCAGACTTGGAGTTTTCGATGTTACTTTAGCATGAAAACACATTTGCAACTAACGCTAAAAACTCTGTTTAAGTTATGAGAATTTCATCCACCTTGTGTACTGCATGGGCCATAGCAACCTTTTCTGTTAGTTCTGGGGACAATTCTCTCGTTACACCTAACAGGGATGACTGTTTCTCATTTGTGAAAATAAGCAAATCCATTTTTTAAAAAATTTTTCCCAAATGGGACCTCTTCAGATTGCCAAAACTATTCAGAGGATTAAATATTGGAAAGGCAGCTGGACATGTACAAATAAAAATTAATGACTGCAGACAGATGCTGAAAAGTATTGCTTGCCTGTGAAAACAAATTTGTTAAATTACTTTATTAGATGTATTGCAAAATGGAGATTTCAGTGGTGTCAAAAATAGGCATGTCTTTTTTTTCTCCATTCTTTTTTCCCCATTTTTTTTTCCAGCACTTATGGCCTTCAATAATAATGCAAAGCTTGACAATCTATTCCTGATTTTAAGCTGTTAGTTTATGTAGTTGTTTGTCTGATCTCTTCTTTTCACCACCCAAATTGAAAATGCTTCTTTGTAGTGAATGGGCTATGAAGTTCTCTTAACCTCTCTTTGGACAATTTCCTTTTTATTTTTTTAGAGCATTAGGGACACTGAGAACCTGGTGTGTGTCCAGAGAGGGGCAGTGAAGCTCTAAAGGGTCTGGAACAGTGGGGTCTTATGGGGAGTGACTGAGGAAATGAGATGGTTCAGTCTGCAGAAGAGGAGACCTAGGAGAGACCTCACTGCTCCCTACAGCTCCTGAAAGGAAGCTGCAATAAGGTGGGAGTTGGCCTCTTCTCCCAGGTAGCAACAATAGGATGAGAGGGAATGGCCGTAAGTTAACTCTTCTGAAAGAGAGGTGATGCAGTTGCACAGGCTGCACAGGGAGGTGGTGGAGTCACTGTCCCTGAAGGTGCTCAGGAAGCGTGGAGATGTGGCACTGAGGGATGTGGTTGGTGGGCATGGTGGGGTGGGTTGTGGTTGGGCTGGATGATATTAGTGCTCTTTTCAAACCCTAACAATCCTAGGATTCTAAGACATGGTTTGTGGGCACAGTGAGGGTGGGTTTGTGGTTGGACTCGAGGATCCTTGGGTCCTTTCTGACCTCAGTGATTTTACAGTTCTAACAAATGCTAATTAATTCTTGAGGAAAAACTCTACATATATATATGTTTCAAGAATCTCAAAGCTTCAACTGTCCATGCATTGCAGTTTTAAGTGTCTAAGCGTAAATTACAAGAAAAAAAAAAAGTAAGAAATCAGGATTTGGATGAATGCCATCTAATGCTCCTCTGGAGCTTCCTGACTGTTATACTCTGCAATTAACACAAATGAGCATGACCACTATGAAGTCCTGCATCGCCTCACTAGATTCAGGCTGAAGTAAGGCGTCAATAATGAAAAAAAAAAAAGCATCTCCTATTATCCAAAATCTTACTACTAGAACAGTTTGGCCATTCTCCCACACCAACAAGTTCTAAGGGTCCGTTCTGCACATCAGAAATAAACACAGGTGAAAGTTGATTGAGTACCAGAGGGCCAGAAGAATTCCTATGACTCTGTTCTTGCTTTTGTGGGCGTAAGTCAAATATCCTACTTGGGACAGGCCGGCTGTGGTAATTACACGTGCCAAGGATTTAATGTGCTTATTTGCCTTTTCTTTGTCAAGAACCATAACAGTATGTCCCTCTTACTTCAGACTCTCTCTACTTCCTCAGCTAAGCACATGAAAAGCAATATCTCTCACACGTAGGTTATTCACAAGGATAGTTTGCGAAAGGGCATCAAGATGAATAAGGATGTAATGTCATCGCAGCAGTGAGAACGGGTGAATGCTGATACCATGTGCGTTTTGGAGCATTATTTCCCATTTCAATCCCCTTGTTAGATTCTGTTAAGATGTATTACGTAACTGGGTACCACATACTTCAATGATATGAGCTGTGGATGCTGGAGTCCGGTGTATTTCTCTGAGTGTGCTCCTGCTTATGGAAATCTGTTGATGAAGCTGCATGACTGCAGTGCTGCTTTCAAGGGCTCAGGTGCCAGATTTTTTAGCACTTAGGACAGCCAGTCTTCCCTCTGTTTTTCTCTTGATTCATCCCTGTCTGAATAGGGCCCTTGACCCTTTCACTGTAGAAACCACAGCCACTTCACCTTGAAGGAATAATTACCTTAATTGAAACAACCATTACATATGGATGCACAGGAGTGTCCTGATTTTCATAGACCCTGGGCAGAAACATGCAGGTCTGAAAGTGTTTGGTGGTTGGCACTAGTAACTGGGTTGCAAAATTAGGTTCTAACTCCTGACTCCACCCTCTTCCAGAAATACACCTCCGAGATCAGGCCTCAGACTGAGCAATAGCTGTTTTGGATGATGCTCCTTGCCTTTTTGTGAGATGATGGAGTATTTAAAGGTGTACATGGGGAAGAATTGACTTGTTTGCGACCTTCATAGCGTGCACTTTGAAAGCCTTCCCAGTCTGTGGCTTGTTAGGGTGTGCAGGCCTGGTACGGCTCTGTGCCGTGGAGCGCTCAGCTGTGGGTTGGGTTCAGGATGCTGAGAACAGAGCTTGGATTTGTGAAGAGCTGAAGGGACCAAAATGTTGAGCCAAATTTGCCGTGGCCACATCCTGGTGCCAGGAAAGGTGTTCCCGCAGCGGCAGCGCGGATTTCTGATACGGGCAGCAGCGCCACGTGCGCCCGGGGGCTGTGGGGCTCCGTGCGGTGAGGGGCTGAGGGCACAGCACGGTACGGAGGAGCGGGGAGGCCCCGAGCTGCGCTGGGGACAGGCGGACAGGAGGCTTCGTGGCGGCTGCGGCTCCTCACAGAGAGCGGAGGGGCAGCGGCACAGCCCGACGGAGCAGCGCGGAGCCGCGGCTGGGGAGGGCGGGGGGGTGCGGGAAAGGCTCCGCCGGGTGTGGGCAGTGCCGTGAGGGGCCCCTCCAGCTCGGCACGCTCCGGGCTTCCATGAGCCTGGGACTCCCGCCCACCACCTCAGCGCGGCTCGGGACGCACGGAAGTCGCCAGAACGGGGAGCGCAAACCCCGCCCCGCGCGGCCGCAGCTCCGCGGCCCTCAGCGCCGGGCTCGGTGACGGGGCGGGGCCGCGCGCCTCATTGGCTCCCGGCGACGGCGGCGGGGCGGAGCCCGGTGGGGGTCTCGGAGGCGAAGCGGAGCGGACCGGAGCGGATCGTCGCGGGGCGCAGCGCAGCGCTGTGAGGCCGGCAGGATGCTGGAGATCCAGCTGGACGATGGCGGCGTGGGGGGGTACCCGGGCGACGACTATTGCTCGGGTTCGGTGATGTCGGAGCGGGTGTCGGGCCTGGCCAACAGCATCTACCGCGAGTTCGAGCGGCTCATCCACTGCTATGACGAGGAGGTGGTGAAGGAGCTGATGCCGCTGGTGGTGACGGTGCTGGAGAACCTGGACTCGGTGCTGACCGATAACCAGGAGCACGAGGTGGAGCTGGAGCTGCTGCGGGAGGACAACGAGCAGCTCCTCACGCAGTACGAGCGGGAGAAGGCGCTGCGCAAGCAGGCCGAGGAGGTGAGCCGGCCCGAGGGCCGCCGGCCCCGGCCTCCATCTTGTGCGCGGCGCCGAGCCGGGCGGTGCGATGCGATGCGCTGCGCTGCGATGCGCTGCGATGCGATGCGGGCGGGGGGGGGCCGCGCGTCCCCGGGGCGGCGAGAGCCGGCGGCCGCCCCGAAGGTGCCGCGCATCGCAGGCCGCGCTCCCCGCCCCGCTCCCGTCCGCTGCTCCCCGGCCCGGGGCGGCCGATGGGGGACGGCCGCGGGGGTCGGCGCGCTCCAGTTCTCCCGCATCGGCGGGCGCGGCCCGCCTGAAAGGGAATGGGAATAACCCCGCGTGGCTGCGGTGCCACGGGTTCGAATAGCAGCGGCAAGCGATGACTTGAAAAGTCCTGCTGGTTTCTGGTTTGAAACGTGACCCTTAAATTGTTAATTTCTTCCCTGTGCTTCTCCCCCGTAGAAATGGTGGCCCGTCTCATTTCAGTAGGCTGCACGCAGGCAGACGCCGCTGTTCGGAGCCCCCTGCCAGGTCAGCGGGTCCCGGGGCTCGCGGCGCTGCGCCGGGCTCCGTGCGGGCTGTGGGAGCGCGGCCCGGGGGGGCGGCCGGCCTCAGGTCAGCGCCTCGGGCGGGGACAAAGGAGAGGAGGTGACGTGCGCCGCTCTCTCCCTCTGCGCCCGATTCTGCTGAAAGCACGAGCATCTTGGCTGTAGGCGAGGCCTGCCGGCCCTGGCCTCCAGAAGCTGCGGTCTGTGCACTGAGCTAAAAGCATTGATGGTGCTGGAAGTCCACCGCCCACCACGTCATCCTCATTTCTTTACAAAACTACTGAAAAAGGAATATATATTTGCTGTGTTTTAAGTTAGGAAAGAGGATTTCGGTTTCAGGAGTCTTGCTAAGAGTCAGGTTTTGATTTGCTTAAATGTAGTAAATGAAATATCTTCGGAACTCCAGGGCGGTGTAAAGCACTGTGCATTATTTTAATGGAGGTGTTCTGGTTGCTGAATAATGATGTGCAGGAATCTTGCTAGCTGGATGCTGAGGAGGACTTGAGCCCAGGATGCTTATTGTCCATTACTAATACTGAGAGCTATAACCAGGCCTTAAGTTTTAAGTATGTGTTAATAAATCTTACAGCTGATCTTTTCAAATTCTCATGAAGGCATGTGGGGATTGAAAAATGATCCCCAGTGCGCAGGATTTCATTCCATACAGCCAGTATTCTGTAGCTTCTGAGAATTAAATACGTGGAAATGTGCTATTCATGGGGTGGAATGGGACTTGAGGTGTGGAGTGGAACAGCCCGATGGAATGAGCTTGCATCTTTGGACTTGCATCTTTCTGCTCTCCGCTTAGCAGGTACAGGGTGTGCTTCTTTCGAGTGTGCCTGTTCCTGGAAGCAGATGTGACAATACTTACATCCCCTGCAGGGACACTCGGGGTCCACAGCAGAGTGCTGTTGGCAGAGATGTAAAAAGCACTCTGTCATCCTCAGGTGCATCTGAGCTGAATGGGCAAAAAAAAGTATCTGCAGAGAGCCTTGTTAGCAGAAAGGAATGGATAATGTGCTGCTTATGAGAACAAATGAGTTTTGTCTCTCTACATAGCCTCTGTTATCAGCTCATGTATGTAAAATGCAGCTATTACTTCCCTTTGCACTTGCCTGCACCTGTAAGCCTCTTACTGTGCAGTAGATTAACTGTTATGGAAGTGAAAATCTCTGCATGTTACAGAGAATTCTGCTGTTCATCAGCTAATAGTAAGCAGAGAAATGCTTTCCCCGTCAGAGCGTGTCTTGCAGTTCTGTAGCAGGGAAACCCATCTCCGTCCCTGTGCAGCATTCAGTGCTGTGTGCTTTGCCTGTGCAGCTCCTGGGTCTGCAGCTTCCAGTGCCACCTTCACTGGAGGATCCTCCTCTGGGAGCGAGGTTTAATCCTTCACTCTTGATTTCTCTGCATGTATCATTCAGCAACATTTCAACAACTAAAGTAACACTGGGATGCTGGGAGTTGATCAAAAAGTAATTTGTTCTTCTATTGCAATATCATGTCGAAAGAGCTGGGCTTCTAATTACACTGTTAGTTCATTGATTTTAAGTGAAATAAAACCAGAAGTGGATGTTGTTCTCTGGCATAAAAATTGAGTGTCGTATCCTCTTGTTACTGCTACTGCAGAGCCACCCAATCTTGCTTTTACATAAGTGTGTAGGGACTGTGCATATAGCTGTGTCCTGTTAAATTAGGGCTGTTTGCACAGCCTTTGTTTCCCTTCCACTGAGCTCTGAAGGAATGATTTCTGTCTCGGCTTTCTTCTTCTTCCATGTGTTCCTCAAGATGGTTGTATATGATATCTTTTAAAACAAACTGCCAAAAGCAAAGCTTTTCTAGACATTTTGACTGCAGAGTGACTCAATATTTTCCACTTGCCCTAAAATAGGGCAGCAGAAGCACCTGGACAAGAGCATTGAAATCAGAAGTTCCTTGAAATGAAGCAGTGCTGTCAGTCTGTGATCGCAGGGCTTAGAACATAACATTTCTTTTCCTTGACCTCCAAACTACTGAAGATGTGGAACGGCATCAGATTTTTTGTATTTTTGTGTTCTTCCATCTGCTTTGTATTGTGTGAGTGTAGGGTAATGACTGATCATATGGCACATTTGCAGAACTGCAGCACAGGCTGTCCAGAGAACTGGGGATGCCCAAGGGCAGGCTGGATAGGGCCCTGCTCTATGGGTGGGACTGGGTGCTCCTCATGTTCTCTTCCAGCCCAAACCAGTCAATGATTATGTATTTGTTTATCTTGAGATGAAGTTCCTGTGGATGCTTTCAGGCTCATGCCCCCAGTAACTTAGGAAGGCAGTAACCACTCTCAGGATGTGAGAAACACTCAGAATCAATAATTTTTTGTCAGGCAAAGATCTTTGTGAAGGAGGAAGTGTATTCATTATTGCAGTAATGGGGCACAGCCCTTTATGGCAAGGGAGGAATTGTGCAACTTATCACAGAAATTCACTCCGTTAAATACTCTCACTCCAACACCTCTCCTGTTGCTCACTGGTTGACCGTATCAAGCTCACAGTCTTTCCGATGTGATTGCTAAAATATTTTTCCATATCAATTTATCATCCACCTGTTCTTTCATCTTTCAGTGGGGAACAAGCAAACAATGCATTCTAGACCCCCTCCATTTTTCAAGGGTGACTGGAGGGTGGTGCCCACCTGCACTTCTTCATTTATCAAGGGGACAGGAGGACAATGCATGCTAGATTCGCCCTCTCTGTTACCTTGTCCTGGTCTAGGTATTCTGGCAACCAAGCTACTTGGAAGGCTTACTCTACCCTGCACTAAGCTATGTCCCAATGATTCATTGTGAACAACAATCCCTGCAGCCATTTTGTAAGAAAGTTTAGCAAAAGTCTGTATCTTAGTTAGCATTGTTCTACTGCAAAACACAGTTTACTTCTCACAAGGAGATGTTTTGCCGTTGGACGGGACCAACACTAAGGTCACAGGCACCAACTTAAAGAAGCATGTTTACTTAAGTTTAAAGCAGCGAAATAATCAACTCTTTACAAGGGTAGATAATGGCAGAACAAGGGGAAATGGTTTTAAGTTGAAGGAGGGAAGGTTTAGGTTGGATGTCAGGGTAAATTCTTTACAGAGGGAGTAGTGAGGTGCTGGAACAGCTGCTCAGAGAGACTGTGGATGCCCCGTCCATGGAGGTGTTCGAAGACGGGCTGGATGTGGCCCTGGGCAGCCTGGTCTGGTATTAAATGTGGAGGTTGGTGGCCCTGCATACGGTGGGGGGGGTTGGAATTCAGAGCTTTATGATCCTTGAGGTCCCTTCCAACTCAAGCCGTCTGTGATAAGTGAGATGATACAGCAAGAATAATACAGAGGGAGGCAATGCACGTAGCCATTACTGCGTGAGGATAGCAATAGTGATAAAGAAAGATGCGTCACCAATTGCCTGAATATTTCACCATCATCCAGATCTCCAGTTGCTGGGAGCCCCAGTTGCAGTGACGGCTTGGAGAGCCTTTCCCTGTAGCTGGGGGGCCCTATGCAGTACATCTGCTTATAGATGAAGTCTCCAGTTTTGCTAACGGAGGATCCAGCTGTTATATTGTTGAATAAACAAATTTATATGACAGGCAGAAACATAGAATCACAGAATGGCTTGAGATGGAAGGGACTCCAAGGGTTATCAAGTTCCAACTCCCCCTGCCATGGGCAGGGCCACCAACCTCCACATCTGGTACTGGACCAGGTTGCCCAGGGCTCCATCCAGCCTGGTCTCGAACACCTCCAGCAAAGGGGCATCCACAGCCTCTCTTGGAACATTTGGTTTCATTCTCTCTTGGATTCTACCTCAAACCTAGCTAGAGCTCAAGGAGGAGCCAAGGAAGTTTGTGTACTAGTAGGCCTTGACACAACGATTCTAAACGAGGAAAGGTTAATATATCTTCATAGCGCTTTTCTAAGCTACATCTCTTGCTAATGAGAGGTTTTGTCCAAGATATTTTACTAATTACCCTAAGTATTTGTCCAACTTATTTTGCTAATTAGCATATATATTTGGCTAATGGTCAGATACTGATGATATATAATGCTGAGTTATGAGATTCATCTAGAAGTCAATTTTGGTTCAAGGCCTGCTGTTCAGGCCTTAGTACTTCAGGAGAGTGGAAAGGAATGGTATCACTTTTTGGTGGCAGTCAGAAGGCCTGGTGGAGAAAGGTCTGGTGAGGGCCCTGCCTGTGGAGCAGGCTGTAGGGCACCTGCATGGCCCTGGGTTCATGGCGTGGCACCAGCCTGTGCCTGCTGCCTGCTCGGTGTGCTCAGAGCTCTGACAGGTGAGCAGGGACCATGGGTGTGCTAGCAGAAATCCCCACGGAAAACCGAATTTATTTTGTCCAACGTTAACAATTTTTGATTTATGTAAACCTGGATTCTTCTTTGCTTGCCAGGAAAGTGTGGTGTGCTCAAAGTACTGGCTTCCACAGGGGTTGTTGGGACCCC